ATAATAAAATGGAGTCAGATTTCAGTTAAACCTAAATTGAATAACTCTGCTCGCTGAAAAGACTGAACATGCAAGCGACCTTCATCCACCACTGGATAACTTCCTTGGACCATGTGTGTGGACCTTACATGTGTGCGTGTGTTTGAAAACCTCATGAGCCCAGAGCATTTGTGTCAGTTTAAAGCTGCAGTCCGTAACTTTTTTTTGGTTAAAAATGATCCTAAATCAATATTTGAGCAAGTACATAACCAGCCAGTTTTCAAAACTATTGCCTTACTTTAGCCTGATTCACAACGGTTATCTTATAATAATGTTTTCTAATTTGAGTGGTACGGGTAGGTTTTCGCGGGAAATTCGAGCATGGCGCTGCGTCATTACGTCACTTCTGTAAACATAAAGAAGTTGTCCCGGCTGCTAGGCTATCGCATGTGAGGATCCTGCAGGTGGCAGATCGTTTATAGCCTTTTCTCACAGCAGCCAGAATAATTAAATGTATCATTTTAATGGCGGATTGTAATCCATAAAGGATCATGTGTTTATGAAACACATTAAAATGAAATTACATTATATTCCAGTTATAAATGTGCTTCTGATTACAGATAGCCTGGGATTACAAAGATTTGCATTTTAAAGAAAACCAGTTTGAAGGGAGCATATTTTGCTTTTTGGGTTAAAATAATTTCTTAATATGAAATTCGAAGAGTATGACAATTAGATTAGACTGTGCAGAAATTGAAATCTACACGCTAATACACACTATACTCATAGTCACCAATGCTGATGCTGTTAACATTAATCATTTGAGAATAAAGTATAACAATAATAATAATTTGAACGGTTTGATGTGATATGAGCTAACCGATCTTTAGATTTAATCACCATTGGTAGCGAGATTTATGGTAATGCTTTTTTCCTCAGTTGGTCAGAACAAACGTGGCAGACTTGTTACTTACTTGTTCAGATGGCAATATACGGTGAAAATTCTTATTTGGGTCATATTCCAAGACGTAGGCTAGAATCTGTGATTGCGAAGTACAGTAACTATACACACCAGTGCGATGACTGACTGCCACACATACTATTCAGAACATTAGATTCATCCGCGCTGGAGCCGTGCCGACTCACAACCCACGCAAGCTAGATAATTCCGCACACAGCTGCAATTCCAGGTTTTCAAACAGAGATGGCGACAAAGAGGCAAAACTTACGGACTGCAGCTTTAACTCAAAATTGCCAGATGTAAACTCGGAATTGTGAGAAATAAAGTCAAAATTGAGATAGAAAGTCATAATTACTTTATTTCATGGTGGAAACAGGCTTCCATGCTTAATCTTCTGTTTGAATTGGAGCTACTGGATTAAAAAGTGGCCTCTCTCGCCTAAGATGCAACTTCCCATAGCTCACCTCAAAGTCCTTCTTGGTGCCGTCGAGGACTTCCAGGCTACCTGAACGTACATCATAACCAAAAGAGCGCAGTTTCTGAATGCGATATTGAATGATCTGCGTTGTCAGTTCTAACACTGTGGGAGTCTCCATGATCTGCTCCATACTTACTCCAGCAGTGAGGAGGCCTTTGAAGCGATCAGCTAGTATAGGCACAGAATAGTATAACAAGGCTGGACACTGAAGTACGATCTGCCTGAGCTCTGCTTCTGTGCATCCCAAAGTCTCCTGGGAGTAGTTGAGGGTGAGTCTCATACTTTCAGGGTTCAGCTCAGTAACATATCCCTTCAGTTTGGAAAGCAGCCGCAAGAGCTCATCGCCAGTAAAGCCCACGTTGCGTAGGAACGCCAAGTTATCGTGCAGTACCTCTGGAAGCTTTAGAAGCACGTAGGGATTCTGAGTAAGCAGCTTCTGCAACCAGGTCTTCATGTTGTCCTCCTTCCCACCCAAGTCCAAATAGGTCTTCTGCAGGGTCTGGATCATCTCCTTGTTTTGCTTCATGGGTCGGCTGAAGCTCTGAGGGGCGCTGGCCATGAGCTTGCTAATGATGCGTTTGTTGAGATGTAACGTCTGGAAATATGCAATGTTAGCTTTCTGGTTGTCGTGATCGGAGGACGAGGAGAAAAACGAGGTGGGGAATTTTTCAATGATTCCTACTAGATCCTTCTGGCTGGTGCACACTGACATCCACAGCTTTTTCTGAGCCTCCATTTGATCAGGTTTGCAGAGGATGGCCTCAGGATGGAGTTCCAAAATGCGGGCGATAACAGGCCCACTAGCCCCCATGTCCCTCAGCAGAGTGGCGGTCTCGTTCACGTACACGGGACTCTGGCGCAACACCCAACCCTTCAGCTTCCGGACTTTACTGATGTCTACAGACAAGTCGTACAGGGCGTTTATGGCAAGCGGGTTCTCTTCTTGAACGATCGAGGAGCAGGGCCTCGTGAGAAGCAAAGGAGTCACTTGAGCCCGCTGGCAGTAGAGACACAGCGATGTCGAGACTAATCGCAACATGTTTGCACAATCTACAGGTCTGTGGGCGGGGCTGTTGTTTGCATTGCATGCAAGTACTGTGCCTGAAACAATTGGAAAAACATATCAGAAAATCTACTTCAAGTCTCAAACTGTTTTAATTAAAAACTTCCTCATTCCCATTTACTCACGTAAAGCTGATATCACATGCAGTCTTTCGAGTGAACAGAATGAGCATTCAGACACTACAAACCATCTACTTACAGGATAAAGAATTGTCAGCAGAAAACAACTAGCTGTCTAATTGCTAACATCCACAAAATGCCAATATCACAGAAGAGCCTAATTATTTTACATCAACACCTAAGATAATTTAGGCTACTTATGGTAACTAGATATTAGCTTTGGAGAAAACAGCAAAATAGTAAGTAACTAGTAAGACAGTTTCTTTATAATGAGATCATGACATATTTTTCTTAGGATTGCAAAGAAAAACACTAGATACCTTGAGGGTCAAGGATGTCCCAATAGTTTCTGAATGACATTTATGAGACGACACTATTAACCCTCATGCTCTGTTTGGGGTCTTTCAGCTCATATAAATCAATTTATATATATATATATAAGCATTAAGAATTTACAGTAAATTGGCTTTTGAAGAAACAGAACAAAATATCAATGACACACCTTGCACTGAGGGGCACATAAACATTTTTGTTCAATAAAAAAATTAGAATAACACAGATTAAATGTCCACCATGAAAAATATTATAAATTAAGATTTTCCTTGAGTACATCAGTATCTATCTATTCACACTCACACACAGATTATACGGGGGAAGTCAGAACACTTTGGCCATTGATATGACATACCGAATTAATATCCTTTTCTGAAAGGAGAGGAAAAGAAAATGAGTTAATTTTGAGCAGATATCATTATTACACTTACATCAAACAAACATACCATAAAGTCAATCTCAACAGAACATGAGGGAGTGTGTTCTCTCTTATGAAACGTAAGTCATGACATAACAGAACAATCAATGACACACCTTGCACTGAGGGGCACATAAACATTTTTGTTCAATAAAAAAATTAGAATAACACAGATTAAATGTCCACCATGAAAAATATTATAAGTTAAGATTTTCCTTGAGTACATCAGTATCTATCTATCTATCTATCTATTCACACTCACACACAGATTATACGGGGGAAGTCAGAACACTTTGGCCATTGATATGACATACCGAATTAATATCCTTTTCTGAAAGGAGAGGAAAAGAAAATGAGTTAATTTTGTAATTATATCATTATTACACTTACATCAAACAAACATACCATAAAGTCAATCTCAACAGAACATGAGGGAGTGTGTTCTCTCTTATGAAACGTAAGTCATGACATCGAGGTAAAGAAACAAACAGCATTGTCTAAATGCGTCTTGCATTTATTAGTCGGCTTTAATATCATTATCTGAAACGTGTTCATAATACAAATTGATCAGTACCTCTGCAGGTCAAATCTGGTCACATCTTCAATACTTGACCTGGGGGAGACGTGGGCTTCTTTTATTCTGGTCGTGATGCCCATGCGGTCTGAGCACAACAGCGCCACCATTAGTACGGGAGGAAATCTAAAACCAGTAAATATAAAAACATTTTGATTTACAGAGTTTGATGGATAATACGAACACAACAAAGGGAAATATGAATTAACCACTCACCTAAACTACAAAATAGTAAAAACGGGCACTAATAAAATATCAACATTTATCAATGACAGCCAAACTATTTCTAGTTAACAGATAATTCTATTTTAAGCAGCAGTAATTCAGGACTGTTGTGTTTTCAAAACAGAAAAGTTGCTTAAAATGGCATCAGGGACTGTGAATTCTATAATCAGAACAGAGAGCAATTAGTTTGAATGGCAGTGGGGAGTGAGTCACAGTTGGAGCTTAATCACAATGCTGGATCATGCCTGCCTACTCAAACTGTTCACTCAGCCCACCCTTGAAGTCTCTACAATCTGGCGACTTACAAAGAGCTTTGCATTCAGACGGCCCCCACAGACTATTAGGTACCTGTAGGCCGACAAGGTACAGTTTAAGACAACAGATTTTCCTTATTTAAAAACCACGACTTATTTAGAGATGTTAAAAGCTCTGTCTCTCAAAATGAAACGTTTTTAACAAGCCATACTTTTAAACATTTTGAGGTCCCGCAGCCGCTTAAAATTACTTAAACTTTGCTTAAAAAAAAGAAAGAAAGAAAGAAAAAATTTACAGGTATGATAGAATAATAAAAGTAATAGGCTATACATAAAATATGTAAATATTATATATATTAATATACTGTATTTTCACATATAAACACATACACACACATATATATGTGTGTCTGTGTTTGCATATATATATATATATATATATATACACACACACACACACACACAGGTAAAACTCTAAAATAATTCTAATATAAATTTAGTTCAAATCTACTGATATGTCCACTGATTTATTTATTAGGCGAGAATTTGTCAACTGCATTATTTAATGAATTTCTTTGCCAGATATTGCAGTATGTTGTTGTAGTACAAGAGTGAACACTCATGTGAATGTTTTTCCCTGTATGCAAACAATCAGGTTTTTGCAGAGCATTGCTGAAATGTTTGCATATATATATATATATATATATATACACACACACACACACACACAGGTAAAACTCTAAAATAATTCTAATATAAATTTAGTTCAAATCTACTGATATGTCCACTGATTTATTTATTAGGCGAGAATTTGTCAACTGCATTATTTAATGAATTTCTTTGCCAGATATTGCAGTATGTTGTTGTAGTACAAGAGTGAACACTCATGTGAATGTTTTTCCCTGTATGCAAACAATCAGGTTTTTGCAGAGCATTGCTGAAATGGTTGACTGAAACTGTGACTCTCTGCAAAAAAAAAAAAAGTGTTCCTTTTTTGAGTTTCACTTGAGAATTAACTAACATAGACTGATTTTTTTCACATTGCATTTTCTCATACTCAGACACACACAAGATATAGCCTAAAGAGGAAGCGCACATGAGATAAAACTAGATATAGAGATAGAGACAGATCTTTTTTGATTCATGAGATAAAACTTTTAACAACAGCACACAAGATTAAAAGAAGAACCTTAAATGGAAAGATAAATGAGAACCATGTGCTCTGGGTTATAAGGGAGGATATAGGCATGAGGAAAATGAAGCAAGAAAAACTGCACCTGAGAAACTGAAGAAAAAAACCCTGCACTTAAGAAGGACAACATCCCAACGTGGGTGGATCTTAATGCCAAACTTCAGAAACAGGTTACTCAAATTTCTGAGTATGTGGAAGGCAACAGGCTGAAAGCAGTCTCACGGATGGACAGAGTAACAGGATGGTCCAAACCAGGTACACTGTGATACTTCTCGCTCTGCTGCTAGTGAGCAGTTTTGCAGGAGACCCAGAGCCCATTTTTAGAGTTCTTGGTGGGGAACTGGAGATGGGTTATTGCTTTGGCAATGACATTGCTGTGTACAGACTGAATGCTGATGGAAGGGAGCTATTGGGTCAGTTCTCGAGTCCCTCAGTTTTACCACCTGATGCCTTTAAGGGTCGGATCAATTTCTCCAATGATGTTGAAGGGCTCCTTGGTCTGACGCTCACAAATCTTCAGTACTCTGATTCTGGCATCTACATCAGAGATAAGGGTCGGATCAATTTCTCCAATGATGTTGAAGGGCTCCTTGGTCTGAAGCTCACAAATCTTCAGTACTCTGATTCTGGCATCTACATCAGAGAGTGCTGGAGTGGTAGCACTATGGAAAATTATCGCAAACACTTTCTCTACGTTTGTGACAAGGAGTTCAGCTTAAAGGAAATTTCACTGACACCCGGCACAGATGCAGATCTGGTATGCAATATGGGTTCCATTAAACATGCTACAATAAAATGGTACAGAGATGTGCACAACGTATCTTTGTTCATGGATACTAAGATTTCTTTGGAGCCATTACAAGTGGAGTTAAAAAGTCTCATTCGGGTTCATGGTGAAGGCTCATTTTTACACGTTTCAGATGAGTTTGTTCAAGACAGACCTCGTTTTTTCTGTCTGGTCATGGAGGGAGAGCAATGCAGGAGCTTCCAAACCATAGGACTACCAGAGGAGCCTGAAATGAAGACTGTTTATCGTTCTGTAGGAGATAAGGTAGTCCTAACATGTTCAGTAGACCACCTCAGACAGAATCACTGGAAAACACCTTTTGGGCAAGTTAACTCATCGGCACCAGTAGGGACAAGCAAAAATCAGATGTTAGTGTTAACAAGCATGAATTCTGAAGACTATTCCCTAGTCATTCAATCTCTCACTTCAGATAATTCTGGGAGTTATAAATGTTTCTCTACCTTCCTCGTTGAAGATTATGTTGTGAATGTGTGCCCTTTGCTTGAATCAACCACTATTTCATTTTCTGCAGAAGATAAGAAGGTGGTCCTCCAATGTAACTTCATGTCTTCACCAGCATTAAGCGATAAAGTCGAGTACGCCAGCGTTCTGTGGTATCGAAAGAATGCTGAGAAGGACATCCAAATATTGGACTCAGGGGATCCTTCTTTAACCCCACCTAATGATTTACAAGGTCGTGTACATTTCTCACAGGTAGATTCTTCTCTCATCATCACTGATCCCAAAAAGGAGGACAGTGAGATGTACTGGTGCGTGGTGCTAGTGGATAATGAGGATACTTATGACGGCGATGATGAGGGTGCTTATGATGGTGATGATGGTGGTAAGGAAGATGATGAGGTGGAACCCCATTCATGGATAATGGAGGAAGAATACATGGACATGTGTCTCTTTAGGCAGGTCACCAATCTAAAGTTTCACCACCAACCTAAAACAGAACGAAAGTTGGATTATACAGCTCAGCCTGAACCTGAAACTGAACCTGAACCTGAACCTGAACCTGAACTTGAACCTGAATCTGAGACTAACCTGACAATGTATGCTGTGTGTGCAGTGATTGCATGCTTATTATTACTGGCTGTGATCTGTATTGTGGTGGTTCTAAAAATAAGAGCTAAGAAAAGATCTGCCACTATTCCAGGAGGAGGTCTTAAACCATCTGAAGAGGAAGGAATAGCACTTAAATCAACAAAGATGTAGAGAATAAGGTTACTTCTTTTTGAGCTTCCACTGTTTTTACACAATGATTTGTGCATAAGGTTCATGAAAAGTGTAATTGTGAAAATTAAGAGGAAACTACTCAAGGTAAAGGGATACTTCACCAAAAATTCACCAGAAATTCTGTCATCATTTACTTACTCGCGTGTAATTCCAAACCTGAATGACTTTCTTTCTTCTGTGGGACACAAAAGAAAATATTTTGAGATATGTCTTTTTTTTTTTTTTTTGTACAAACAATCAAAATCACTGGCCACCAAAACTGCTTGGTAACCAACATTCTTCAAGATATCGTCTCTTGTGGGTAAATGATGAAAGAATTTTCATTTTTCAGTGAACTATCCCTTTAGAGTACAATTTCACCTTCATACCTGAAAGAGGAAAAACATTTGTAAGACTTACTCAAAAGGCTTACTCAAGTATTGCAAAAGGGTGTTCAGTATCACAATTACACATTTGACAATTGTTGTTTTTGTAAATGCTGAAATGGATCACAAGTGTGTCTCCTGGGTGATCACAGCAGCAAGACTCAGGCATGAGGGTAATGTAAAACAGCTACTGGCACGCGTGACATTTTCTTGTGCAATGAAGACAAGACCAGCTGGTTTGTTTCCCTGTCAAATCTTGAGTACACACTAAGCAAATGGTGCTTTAAAAATAAGCACACCATAAAGCCTGTATAAAAGTTGATTTTGCATGAAGACAAACATATGGGTCTTAAAGGGATAGTTCAAAGAAAAATTTAAAATCATTCACTCACCCTCATGTCGTTCCAAACCTGTATGACTTACTTCTTTGGAAAAAATTATGTCATACAGGTTCAGAATGACTTGAGGGTGAGTAAATAATGACAGAATGTTCTTTTTTTGGGGGGGTGAACTATCCTGTTAGCTATATGATTTATAGAGGACGGTGTACATATAATGCTTCAACATGCATTTCTCTTAGTTCTTTTCTGCATTTATGGTTCAAAATTGCTCCATGTCTTGTAAAAAACACCTCCATTAATCATGTATCCCATACTTTCAACTGCAAAGAGGCATTTAGCACTACTGAACTGCTGTCATTAGAACGTCATCTCTCCCATGACAGAGATCTTGGTAATGATAAACAACAGATGTGCAAACACATCCGTAAACATTTTCATTCTTCTTCTGACTGGGGACATGTAGAACACTTCCTGTTCTAATTTCTCTTTGGTTTCCATTAATGTGTCAACAGAGTTTGAATCTAATGCTGAATCTAATATCCTAGTCTAACAGCTGGCTGCATAAACACTGGCAGTCTAGAGAGCACTGTGTGGATTTGATGGACATGGTTATGTCATGTAAAGCTGCACTGGTGGTCCTGTGTGGTAACACAGATTAGGGAAACAGCTCTGTTAATGTGTATTCCAGATATGACCAATGTATTTTGCTGTGGTTGGGCAGACAGCCAAAGTACTATCTTTGTTAAATAGGTATTAAAATCATTTGAGTTTCAATGGGATGGTTGGAATTGTTTGAAAGCTTTAATCCATATTTGTGTTTTTATTACAACACAGGTGCGTTCTCAATGTATCCACTGGATAGAAATGATCCAGTGCTTTGTTAATGGATTTTTCTTTTTATAATAACAGCTTGATTGCATTCAAAAATGTTGTCAAATGTTTTTTTTAAAAAGTGCTTCTGGAACATGTAACGATCTTGATAATTACCTGAACATGTCATAGCAACATAACCAGAATAACAGAACATGTTGAGTGAGACACAAAGACACATTTAAAGAGGTGTTGATGGTTACCACTAAATAAAAACAGTGCTTATTTTTGAAAACAACTGATTAGACTGCCTTTGCATGATTGAAGCCACTTTGACACATCTAATCTCTACTTTACTCCAGTTTACTTTACTTTCTTTTCTTTTGATACATGTCAATGATTCATAACGAAGTGTCTAACCATGAATCATCCAGCAATGAAGACCAGTTCGACAGGCAGGTTTTTGGATGGGCCATGTCTGCTTTCACTTGTCAAAATAGGCTGTCAACCTCCCCAACTGTCATTATGCATTATGCCAAAAGGCAAGAGTCGTATTTCATGGGTGTCATTTGTGCTCCAACACACATTTGTATTTGTCTTAAAACCTGCACACGTCTGTCCTTTATTTCTAACATTTTGAAACATCTGTAGACCCTTAAGCTTTATTTTATTTAAAGGATTCACTCAGACTGTCTAGGTTATCTTATATAATATTTCCCAGGTTATCTGGGTTCTGCATGGTCTTGTCTTGTTTAAACCCATTTAACGACAACATGCATTGAAAGACATTACCTAAAGCATATGAAAGACATGTCTCGCCCCTCAGATATAATAGTTGCTGCACCCCTACTGATAAAACAGCTGCAATTTTCATCTAAAAGATTTTATCAGGACTGTAGTGAAGTGGATGTCCACTGGGGGGTGTCCTTTTTGTTAAGAAAATTAAACATTGAGTTTGTGGTGATCTAACTGGCCACCAAACCTTACAGGAACGAATGCAGTTTTTCTTTTCAGAGGGGGAAACAAAATGTTAACCGACCTATGAACCCTCTTTTTTATTATTTTATTTTTTTCATAAAGCATTACATGTTACATGACACATAATATGACTGTTTCCAAAAATATCAGTTCCTAGAGACGAGCCATGAATATAACTCAAAAAACGTGTCATGAGGCAATGTGACTTTGCCGTACAGCAACACTAAATCAAAAAAATCACATTAATAAACTCAACTAACCAAGCGTACTTGTCCAGACAGGATATGCCCCCTGAAATAGCCCTGGAACAGCCTAACCGCAATAAAATTACACACACACAAACACTATGAGCTAGGAGTGACTTCTAGGGCAAAAAAGCCACTAGCAGCATAAGTCCTCTTGCTTTCTGAGGGGACTAAAATTAAGGAGAGAGGATCATCAGGAATGTCTATCAATTAAAACTGATTCTAACAGTAGTGTGATGAGTGCTGGGCTTCTAGGTGAGATAACAGCTGTTCAAATGATGAATGAGGTTGACAAACCTGGAAAATTGATCAATCACTCACTGTTAAGAGCAGGATTATTAAACAGTTTAACGTTTTAATTGAATGAATTACATGCTATGCTGATTAAATATTTTAATTTCAAATGTACTGAAGAAAGCCTCCAAATTAACCAAATTAAAATGATTTAAAACATTACTTGTACATTATTGAATAGACATTGCAAAAATGCTTTTAAAAATTAGTGCTTTTTAAAATTAGTATAAAAATTCCTTATTATGAAATGTACCTATGTGTCAGGGAGTATAATTATTTTTTAAACAATTAATTGTAATAAATCTGTCCAGTAAACTGACAGCCCTAGTTAAGAGAATATTTGTATTACTTGATTTCATATTAATAGTCAGTTTATTTTCATCCTGTTGATTTCAAAATGTTTACTGTTTCTCTTTTGAAGTATTGTGTGGCTTAATTTTTTATGGAACCAGCTGCCTAGTGTAAATAATGTTTTTGTCCTAGTCTTCTTGTGTACACTGCCTCCTCCGGGTGTTTGTAGACCTGCAGGTTCAGCTTCCTGCTGCCATGGGCTGCTTTTCTTTCTCCCTGCATGCTATGTGGGTATAATTATTGCACCTAGCTTGTTGCATAGATATTTGTATGCATGTATGTTTTTGGCTATAGGGACATTAAAGACAAGCCTTTAGTGAGATGATGTAATGGGCATCATAGTATAGTATTATACCTTTTCAACAAAATCTAACATTATACTTTTAAGTTAGTGGGTTTGCCTGTGTTCATGTGTTTTTGATAAAATCTGTGATTTGTATTTGTGATATGTTAAGGAAGTTATTTGTTATAATATTAATGAACTTGATGAGGAGTTACATAAGAGTTCACACACACAAACACACACACACACACACACACACACACACACACACATGCATACATACATTTAGAGTATTATATTATAATATATGCTTGCAACCCTCATAGGTCAAGCATGGGTCAGATATATGAGGAAAATGAGGACAATGATATGCAAAATCACCATAAAAGCATAGGCCGTCAAGTAGTCCACACAAATCTTTCACTACTATTTCAAGTCTTTTATGATAATAATGGTGTGGGAACAGATCACATTACTGTTATTACACAATTATTAAGTTATTATTAAGTTATTTTTCATTGAAAACCTTTACATTTGCCATAACTCTCTACCTCGATTGTTCATGAACATACAGTAGGCCTACATAAGAGAACTAGCTATGTCCAATTAGTGAACAGATTTATTGGAGTCCAATCCTTTCAATAAATTGTTTGATCTGGTCCTAATCCGAATCAGGCTAATCCGATTCTCGGTTGACATCAGTAGGCTATTTATACTACTTTTGCGTGCTCTTATTCAGGCATTTTTTTTCTTATTCACAAAAAGCATCGCTCTGAAACTGATCCTCTAATGTAAACCCGACCATTACGCCGTTGAATGTGGTAAGAAAAAGCTACCCGAAATCGTGTTTTTGTGGGCATTTAAACAAATAAGCGAACAGAGTGCGCATTTGCGTGGAAAACACCTGCTAATAACTATAGTTTGGAAAAAGTATTTTACAGGACTATCCCCTTAGTATTGGTAGGTTAAGGAGTAGGTGTGGGTGAGGGGTTAGGATTAGGGGTGGGGTTAGGATAAGCAATCAGGTAGTGCCTTCATCGAGGGGGGGTCATAATTTGGGGGGTCAATACCGCACGCCGTTGGAGATTACGCTGCTGAGTTCATAAACGCGAACGCCACTTTCAGCCGCGTTCTTGCAATAACCGCCTTACTACTGGTGTGCATGTAATCAAATGTCACTGTTCATCACAAAAAGGTATCATATGACTTCATATGAACTGTATCTATAAACAGGGCCGTTTCTAGGCATAGGCGAGCTAGGCGGTCGCCTAGGGCGCCATTTATATGTAGTTTGGGGTAACAAAGGGGTTCTATAGGTTTGACTGAAATAATAATAATAATAACTGACACTTTAAATCAATGTTTCAAGAAACCACAACAAAAAATTTTAACAAAAAACAGATAAAGACAAAAAAGTAGCCATTGATAATATCTAAACAATATGTAGTAGTATAGTATATAGTATCCAAATTAAAATGTAATAAAATTAATTTGTGTGATTTATGTGTAAATTATGTGCAATGGCTTAGCCACTAGGGATTGTTACATAGGGCTATACAGGCATCTAGTGGCAACATAATGATATTACATATACTAAATTGTGCAAAATGTTTATCTTAACAGTCTAGTAATAATTAATAACTAGACTATTAAAATAATAACAGTAATAATTTACAATAGGGCAATAGGGATTTCGCCTAGGGCGTCAAATTGGCTAGAAACGGCCCTGTCTATAAATCATGTGCACTAAAATCCCGTTGCTAGGATCACCATTAATTGTCGTTGCATGAAAAATACTGACATAGCCTACTTAGAAATTAAACTGTATGTTTTCCATAGAGGAAAGTCTGAAACGACATGAGTAAATACCAAAATTTTCATTCTCTGCATGAACTATCCCTTTAATAAACTCATATCTACAAGCGATGTTTTGAGAAACACTTTGTGAATAAGTGTCTAAACTACTCAATGAGAGAAAGAAGCAACTGGTTTGTGCGTCAGATACAAACAACCAGAAACTTCTTGTCTTCCCCGATGCCCGTTTGCAGCAGTAGTCTCAGATTAAAGGTAGAACGCAGGCAAACAATTGACAGAGGAAGAGAAAACCCCACTGGTTATCTATGCGCGATGCCCACCCCCTGGTTTTACAGAAAGCCAACATTATCCATCTGTCACTTGATACAGACGCTCAGCACACGCGTCGTTTGGCTGATATAGGTGGGCTGACTCGAGAACAGCAGGACTCTCTGGATAGCAACTTTACTGGATCGAGTCCATGCTTGTTTTATTGGGGAATATTTCAGCACGTTGTGAGTGGTAAGAGATGCGCGGATCGTCCTCTTGTCAGTGTCTGTTCTCATCTAACTGTTTCATTAATGTTGTGTTTGTGCCGTGTGATTTTTTAAAATAGCTGTACTGATCATACTAACTTCTAAGCTGCAAATGCATTTGATACAGCTTCTCTCGAAGCTCGGGCAAGAAGTTGTGTCAGCGGAGGCTGTTTGACAAGGGATGCTCTTGACAGATGTGGCTGGATTCAGTCTTATAAACAAGATAGAGATGTAAACATCAGTGATATGTAAACGAATTTTTATGTACCAGTAAGATGCTTGTAAAATGTTTTATTAGTTGTTTGTGTAATTAATTTGGCAGTCTTGTGGAAAGAGTTATGGTTCGATTTATCCGTGAACAAGAAAATATTCAATGCATTTTTAAACCATGATTTAAAACATAGGTTAGGCTACATATCATATATTGCACCTTGTTCCAGCTATTAGGCATGCTCTGGTAAAATATTTATAAAAACATCTCAAACCAGACTAAACTGCACTGCCGGTCTTATCTGGTCTCCAAACCTGGTCATGTTTGTCTTTTGAGTTAATTGGTTAAGAAGGGTTTCAGGCGCTTTTCATTAGATTTGGCTTGGAGACCAGCGTGGCCAGGCTATGAGACCATCTTAATGAGACCAGCAAATCAACTGAATACAATCTTAAACCAGCAAAAACAAGCTTAAGACCAGCAAACCATTGTTAAGCAGTTTTTATTCTTGCAAATTCTGCAGGAAAGCTATGGGGTAATGCACTATAGACATTTTGATGGTTAATTTATTGAGCGATGCTGTATTTATGGTTTTTTAGATATTATGGATTGGTCACTTACATTAGTGTTTTGCCTGTAGCTATATTGGCCATAGACAGACATTAACCTTGAATAGCATCCTGCTGTGTCTGTAGGCATGTAGACACATGGAGAGAGTTTAGACATGTAATAATAAATAACTTATCATATATAATTCTGCATATTTTTCTAAGCTTGTATTGACATCTTAATTAATCCATTTATAATAACAAAAGTAAAAAAAAAAAAAAATTTCATTCATGTGATTCAGTTCAGAGTGGTCAAATATCTGCTAGATGTACCAGTGCAGATTGAGACCTTGACAACACTTTTGATTTGGCAAGAATTAAACTTTTTAATTGAAATTAAAATTGCAATGAGTTTGAATTGTTGTATGCATAACTGTTCAGATAGTTAATGAATTCTCAAACTACTCTTTGACATTAGGTGAGGTAAACGAGAAACTATTTGAATCCTTTTGTCATCTTTGGAGACATTAACATGGCTGTAATGAGTTTTTAAAAACAGATTAATATATTCACAGCAAGGTCAAGATACCCATACATTTACATAGGAGAAATGTGACAGAGAGAAATAGATATAATTTTTCTTCCAGTAGTTGACGGCTCATAGTACTGGTGCTTGATTGTGTTGGTCGATGTGGCTGGGGCGATTTTGTCAAATGGCAGAGAAAGCTAATCGTAGCTCTCAGTGTGCACACCGATGGAAATAAATTTTGCCCCTACATTCCCTATTCCCAGTGTGGTAATCAGTTTGTTGAATGAAAAAGCAGAATCATAAGAGACGTTATTGTAAGAGACAACCCTGAAAATCCTGTAAATGGTTTGAAAAGAGCTACAGCCAATGAGGATTTCAAGATTGGAGTGATTGAAAAGAGAAAGACAATCTTTACTGCAGTCTAGATGCTAAAGTATATGTCAGATTTGATTCATTTTTTTTATTTCAAGAGCCATCATAATGTGATTTGGTCTCTTTCTCGGAAATGAAAGTGTAGTTATTTATACAAAACAGGAAAGCTGACATAACCAGAGGTTCACAAAAATACAACCAGCTGGTCACACGCAGATATAAGTTGAGTGATTTCAATATATTGATTGTCACAGACACAAAACAATCAGATCAATCCTGATAGTGCTTGACTGTTTTAGTAACAGCTCTCTTATGCCATTTGCTGTATAAAACTCCTAACAGAGCTGCAGTGGTGACTAGTCCCTCTCAGGAGCTAATAAAAAGCACAGGGAAACCACCCCATTGAATGCTATAAATTAGCAGGGCAGCAAGAGCTTTTTCATGCAAAGTTCAAGGAAAAGTTCAAGGCAAGCGACATGGCTGTTCATTGATAAGGAATTTGTTGAGTGCTTGATTGCCATATCTGTAAATTTATGCTCTAACAATGTGTTTGAAATTCTGACAACATCCATAATTGCCATGCTACATTTTTCTGACATGTTCATTTATATTAGCTGCAGAAGAGAATATGTAATATGGCATTTCTGCTTCTTACATTTTGTCTTACAAATCACTGATACCATAGACCATATTCATTCAGGGACTAACAGAGAGAGAAAATTGTACTTGGAGGCCATCACTGCCAATTTTGTGCCACCTTGATGAAATGGATCTTAAAGGGGTCATATGATGCGATTTCAATTTTTCCTTTCTCTTTGGAGTGTTACAAGCTCTTGGTGCATAAAGAAGATCTGTAAAGTTGCAAAGACTAAAGTCTCAAATCCAAAGAGATATTCTTTATAAAAGTTCAGAGTCAGCCACACCTACCTAAAACGGCTCGTTCTAACACGCCCCCACATATCTACTTCACTATGTGGGAAGATTTGCATAACGCCGCCCAAATGTTCATGCAAAGAAAGAAGGCGTAACTTTTAGTCTCACTGTCGTTTTGTTGACGCTGCAGCCATGTCGTGAAGACACTGTGTTTCGTTGTGAAAGCGAAACTACTTTGTTTGGTCTTCCAAAAGAGGACGATATCCGCTTCGTCATGCCTAGAGCTGATCTGTGCTGGTCGCTGAGGGAATACATCAACTTTCACCGTGGACGAAGCGGAATCCAGCCCGGGGTCCGTCACATGTGGTTGCCGCTCATTCGTCGGATCCGCCGGGCGCGCCGTTCTCGACCCCGCCGCCTTAGCTCACTCTAGCCCGGCCTCAGCTCACGCTAAGCCGGGGCTTCTGCTCACGCTAGCCCTGCCTCAGCTCACTCTAGCCCGGCCATCAGCTCACTCTATCCCGGCCTCAGCGCACGCTAAGCCGGGGCTGCTCAAGAGAAACGTGGCAACATACAGTACATCACAGCTAAAATAGGCACTGCATTATTTAAGATGGTAATTTTCATCATTTGAAGAGAAATGAGACTGTGAGGCAGAGAATTTGTTGCAGATATTGCATGTCTAATAGCAACACCTCAAACAGTGTGAACTAAAAACTGCAGCAACATATTGATTTTGGAGCAGGTTCGGGCCATTTGAAATGTTTTTTAGCTGAGGAAAGGCCAACTAGCTTGGGTTGTCATCTGTGACTAATACTGAAATGCCATAAGTTTTGAGCTGAATTCTGGGCATTCAAAAGTAGATGAATTCACATTAACGTTTTAAAGCACATGCAAATGGAAAGAGATGAATGCTTCCAATTCATTAGTCTTGCGTAGCCCGATCTTTGACAAAATGGCAAAAGGGCTGGTCCACATCACAGCTTATTCTGGCCAAGAACTGCTTGCATAAACAGGAACATTGTTATTATAGTATCAGTGAGATACTATTATAGTCAGTTTACATGAATAATAGGAATAATAGGCAAACTTTGGTAAACTATTCGAATTTTTCATCATCAGAGGTGCTTGTTGTATCACCTTGGTACCTTGTAAACACAAATGTATTCCATGGTGGACTAATAAATCAGATTAGAGCTTGACAGATTAGAGAGCTTCATGCATTAGATATTTGGCCAGCGAATGGACTGATCTGAGTCCAGGTGACAGAAATGACCACCTTGTTACTGTGGTTTAGGTTACGGTTTTGCAATTATTTAAATATGGAAGTAATATGGTAATAGGACCAAGTAGCCTATTCTGTGATTGTAAGAATGATCAAATGTGAAAAATATGTACTACAGTCCCAACTCCTTACTTTAGCTCCTACAGTGATAATGCATCTCACATCTGCCTATTTGTAATGAAACTCCATAAACACTGTGTAATGATCTCTCAAATGCAAAGCAGACACACTTTTTACAATCTGGCACTTTATCTTGTTTAAATGTTTTAAAGTCTAAAAAAAAACATTCTAACTGACAAAGAAAAGTGCAATCCTTCCTTTTTGCTACATAGGTTGCTTTAGTAAATAAGTGTCCATGCTTGCCTTCCTGACAGAGTGAAGAATGTGATGGTGACGGAGCAGTATGGAGTGCTCGTGGAAGACTCTACTTCTGCTCGTGTGCACGTCTTTGGGGGTGCAGTACACTGCCATCCGTTCCCTTCATGACTCCTTCAGTGGCCCATGCCAAGACTCCGCCCACTGCCAAGGACGCCAGGGTAAAGGTGAGTCACTGTCCTGTAACACAAAGCATTAGATTTTCACAGTGACATTTAAAATTGTATGAGCATTCTGCAGGTCAGTGCTGTCACTGGAAGAAATTAAAATGAAATTTGGAAGTGGAAATGTGTGTGTTTGTTTTTTTTTTTCAAATTGTATCAGGTTTACAATAACCCACTGATGGATTGTATTTACATTTATTCTGATTAACAAATAAACAAGGTTTTCCTCTATCTGTGTCTGGGTCATTTTTATTATGCCGTACAGTTTCATGTTCCCATAATACAATATATTTATTAAAGCTGGAATGAAACAGATAAAATGACAGATCTTTGCAAAAGAGGTATGTTGTTTCATTCGAAGATTGAGTTATGACATTTTCACAATGAGATCAATAACATGCATTCAAAAACATGCTGAAATATATTGGATAAAATAAACAGAGCAGCGATTAAAAAAAAATCTAATTAAATTACTTCTTACATAAAAACAGTCTTTTTATTTTCTTTCCATTGTGAAAATAGAATTAACAAAATTAAGTATCTGAGCTTTTGTAGAAATACTTCAATACAGACATAAAGTTATAGAACTTACAAACTGCATAACAGCAATGACCCATCTATTCAGGTGTACTCAATTTCATCTGCAATTTAGACACAGTTTAAGCCCTCCATTAAATTATAGTTTGCATAGAGACTTAAATTCAATTATAATTCATGTTTGATTATGGACATAGCTTTAGCTGGTTTGACAAGACCATTCTAAAGGATTCAAATTACATTCTCTCTATAGGCTTATCTCTCTCAGGTCATCACTTCTGTAATGAGTAAGTTTGTGAGGAAAGAAATTAGCAGAGAACTGTTAGAAATGCAAACTGGAAATTCCCCCCTCATCCGCTGTAAGGAGCGAGAGATGGAATATCAATAATTAATTCAACAATTATCTCATCATTAATCTGCCATAATATGTCCTCACAGACCAGCTGTTTGCACTTCCAGCAAGCGTCGACTCACACAACCTAATGTGCCACGCACAATCAGTCTCTCATCAGGCGTAATTACAAGCGTTATCAGTCTCTCCCACCCTCCTGCTATATATAGTAATTGTTCATTTTGAGCAAAAGTCGCATAATCTTTTTCGTATGGGGAGAAATGCCGTTGTTCATATTTCAATTTTATACATTTTTTTCAAATATTGCTTCAAAATGGTGAAATGATTACCACCACAGAAGGAGGCAATCCAAGTCTTCAAAACAACATTATTACTGCTGTATGTTTCCTCTCTGTGGGCAGAATAGGTTTTTGAATTGCACTGGACTTTATTATGTTTTTGTTAAGATTAGGTTGCGCTTTTCCCTAAATTAAAGCTCCAGGTATTTTCTTACCCAAATAAATGATTGATTAAAGATGAAGCTGAACTAATTGGGTCTTTTGTGGCCTTATAATGTCCGCTGAGGTTTCAGAGCACCATATTATCTCATTTTCTCTTCTTCTCTTCCCCAGAGCAGAGATGGAAATCTCTCTGCGATGACAGCCAAGTCCCTGATGAGACTAGTGCTGCCGCCGCTCGAAAGCACATCCTTCTGTTTGCACAAACCCGCAGTGGCTCCTCATTTACTGGACAACTTTTCAATCAACACCCTGGCATATTTTATGTTTTTGAGCCTCTTTTCCACGTGCAACAGGCCTTCACCAATTCTAGTAGCCGTCTACAAAGGGCTTTGGATGGCAGAGCTCTTCTGGGAGCCTACCGAGACCTCCTACTCAATCTCTACAACTGTGACTTCAGCTTCCTGGAGAGCTATATTCGCCCCGAACCACAGGATCACATGACCGGGGCCTTTTTCCGCCGCAGCTCCAGTCACGCCCTGTGCACGCCGCCTGTCTGCCAGGAAGGTGCCGAGGAGATTCTAGCAGGCCAACCGGATGAAGTCTGGTGCCCAAAAAAGTGCCAGGCCTTGAACCTCACACTAGCCTCTCAGGCTTGCCAAGCACGAAGTCACGTGGCCATAAAAACAGTTCGTATCCCAGAGATAGGCGACCTACGTACGCTTTCAGAAGACCCCCGTTTAGATTTGAGAATTGTCCATTTGGTGAGAGACCCCCGAGCCATTCTCACCTCCCGCATGACTGCTTTTGCCGGTAAATTCAGGGCCTGGAAGATCTGGAATGCCACTGGCCGCCAACCACGGTACGTGGACCTGACGCAGATAACGAGAACATGCAGAGATATTGAGTATTCTGTGGAGACCAGCCTGCAGAAACCCTCATGGCTGAGGGGGAGGTATCTTTTGGTACGCTATGAAGACTTGGCCTTGAATCCTGAGGAAACGTCCAAGGAGATATACAGATTTCTGGGGCTGGACCTGCATCAAAGAGTGCTCACATGGATTGCTCATAACACCAATGGCACTGTCCCATCTTCTTCAGAGTGGAACTATAAGTACTCCACTACAAGAGACTCTAAAGCCACAGCTCAGAGCTGGAGAGTGCATCTGAACTTTGACATTGTTAAGACAGTTCAATCTCTTTGTAACAGAACTCTTGCTCTGCTAGGCTATAAGCTTGTCCAGTCTGTAGATGAACTGAGGAATATAACAAAAAGTTTAATGGAGCCTAGGACGTAGTAAAGTTAATTTTTATGTGAACTACTCGTTCATTTGGAAGACACTTTTATCCAAAGTGACTTAACATTGCTTTCAGTGCATACACTGAATCAAACAGTACTCACAGGTTCCAACAAAGTACATTTGGTTACGTAATATTGTGTTAGTTACTTTTAATATTTTTCAGTTTGTTTTGACAATTTGCATACTAATTGTCAATGCCATGTAAATGCAACATTTTAGATCCTACTTTGGTGAAAACTTAGCTCATGAATAATAATTACGGATATAATGCCTAGTACCTTTTTTTAAAGGGATAGTTTACCAAAAAATGGAAATTCTGTAATCATTCACTTACCATCTTGTCGTTCCAAACCTGCATGATTCTCTTTCCTCTGTGGAACTTAAAAAAATATATTTTGAGAAATGCCTCAGTTATTTTTGCCCATACAATGGAAGTCAAAGGTAACCAAAATGGTTTGGTTACCAACATTCTTAAAAATTAATTATTTTGTTTTCTGCAGAAGAAAGAAAGTCCGGTTTGGAACAGCATGAGGGTGAAAAAAATATGATAGAATTTTCATTTTCGGATGAATTATTCCTTTAAGCATGTAAAGTTCTTAATATTCATGAGCCAGGCATTTAGAATAGTATGATGCTAAATAAGCACACAGGCCCACCATTTTCAGCCTGTAAATGTGCATTTATGTGACCCCAACTTCAAAAATGATCTCCCTCTGATGGCTTTGTGAGTCAGAGTCAATGATTATTTGTAAGTGCAGAGTCAACATTGGGAAAAGCACTTTGGCGCAATGCAGCCACTTTGCAATTTGTGGATAACAGATATAAAACTACACAAGTCAAAATCCTCATTTAATTAATATGCTATCTCTTGTTCACAGGGCCCCCTTGAGGTTGAGCCTTTGGCTGCAGCCCATGTGATCCCTTGGGTTAATGTGGCCCTGCTAATTACTGTTTTAGTTCATACTTCATATCATGGATTAAATTACTAAACCCATGAACACAGCACATTTTGGAAGTCTGCGCTCAAATATCTGCCAATATGTAATGAAAATGTCATTTCATTGCATACATGTGTTGCATACATGTGTTGCATACATGTCTCTGCATAGAAATGCAGAGATTATGAGTCTTGGGAATATTTAATTGTGTCAGTCTTTAGCCTTAAAATACTCTTGGATTTGTGTTGTTGTACATGCCCTCCTGTCAGTTACATTAAGCCGTTTATTACTTCTATGTAAAACATGCCCTTAAACGCTAACACTTTTACATATTGGAAATATGCTGTGTAAACAGTTCCTCATCTCAGGTATATGATTATTAAATGCTATTCTTCAGCTGCACTGCCAATTAATAAATATGCAGAGAAAAGAGGAAAACTATATGGTTGAATAAATTATTCCTCTTCATATTGTTTCAGTCCTTCGGAATCGGTGGTTCACAATAATATAATGTGTTTGTTTCATTCAATTATTTATTTATGGAAAATTATTTATTTATGGAAAAAGGTACAGAACTGAATTATGTGAGACACTGTGCAACTGGTATTTTGTAGCAGTATTAATGATAGGTTCTGAGTGCTTATTTGTCTATATGAAAGCTTTCTATGTTATACATGAACACATTGACCTGTGTTATTAATATTTAAGCATGACTGCTGGCAAATGGAAATGAATCTGAAGCACTAGGTTTGAAATAGGTGTTTGTTGCTGCTGTATGGTATTCTCTATGGTCTGCTATTCTCATCAGTTTTCCACTTTCTTTTAATACTTGACATTTGTGGTGTTCTGCTGAGGCTGGAGCATTTTGGTGAAGTGCTGATCATCTTCTCAATGTCAGCAGTCCAGCTTTAGCTTGAAAATCGAAAAAGTGATTACCAAGGGACATGGCCATAATTCAGACTTTCTTTCTGTCAGTTCCTTTTGTTTTCAAAGATAAGGATGCCTGACGTTAACATATTTAATGGATGTTAAGCATTGGATTGATGAGTACCATTTCCTGACATATTGTTATTAAGCACATAAATACAAATTCATCAAAACGATTTTATTAATCTTGGAAAGATATATGGTGAAAGCAGCTGCATTTAGCATAATAGATACTGCACATACAACATAATTGCTACGAATATAGGAGGCTTTGCGGAATGAATTTTGAATTGTGAGTCAGTCATTTACATGCAACTGTTAAAATGAACTCATTCATTAAAATGAATCGGACTTCTTGAAAACACAGGACAGCTCAGGTGAGTTTAGTTTATTATTAACTTAGCTCACTCGGTTCTTCTAAAGCTTTGGGACTACAAACGAGCTGCTTTTCAGAGACACTGTTTTGAACGGAGCGAACCAGCGTCACACTGCTGAACACTGCCATTAATTAGCTATTATTAGTTGCTATTTTTAGTTTGTTACTCCCCAGCGTAGTCTACTTATAAAAGTGGCAGAAAAAAAATATTAGATTTTCTCATTTCATGTTCAATATTATTGCCCAATGTTATTACTTCCAGTTTTGGATAAAGAAAAAACAAGTCTGGATCAAGAGAGGCATTATGAGTAAATGGTTGCAAAAACACCTTACCACACGGATATTGCGAGATGAGTCACTATCTTCTAAAGAAAGCCCAAGTAAATGTAGCCACTGGGTTCTTTGCCAGGACACACTTTCTACCCAGAATCCTAGGGGTTAAAAGCACCCTGAGAGAGTAATCCTCCCTCATTTACAATCACTCTCTGCCCTGCAGCTGCTGACTGCAGGGTTATTTCTCAGAGGCCCTGAGAATATATCCATAGAAGAAACTCAATAGAAACGGGATTTAAGATGGAGGGAGAAGAGAAGCCATCTCTCTTTGAACTTAATCTGCAAAGGCAACACAAACCGGCAATAAAGCAGAGTTTATGACACCCTCTGAGAACTGTTTCATTGGCTTTTCCATCGCACCCTGACATACAAAGACACCAGCCACCTGAGTCAGCCGCACAGTTAATCGCTCATCTCTTCACAGCCAATATCAGCCCCCTCTGTCCCTCTTAACCCCGCTGACAAATTTAGACCTCCGAGGATGGCGGTAAGCGATGTTCAGAGCAAATCCACAATGTGTGGGGGTGTACAGTGTGCTTTCGTACATGTGAGTAATGTATTAGCATGAAGAAATGGAAGTAGAGTGCAGGTCAAGAGTCTAGCATATGCTTGGTTGCCAAGAGAGAAACGAAAGAGGAAAAAATCAACCTGCTCTCTACGAATGACCCCTTTTTTTTCCTTAGAAAATGATCACATAAAGGCCAGGCACAGACTTGTGGGAAATGAAAACGAGTCCACTGCAGAAATCATGAACACAAGAGCTGGGTGCAGCAAATGTTATAGAGATAAATATTGTTTATTTTAAACAGGTCTACTGTCACTGCTCAAAATATAAGTTACTATATTTACATTTTCTTTTACATCTAGAATCACTAAGATGCTAAAAGATTATTTTGTGATTTGCTTGTAGAATGTGATTCAATAGTTTACAGAATGTGTAAATTTTTTTATGCTGTAGACTCTTATATTAAATATTGATCAGCATTTGAAATCATTTTTAGTCAGGTCCAAAGGTGTGAGACCAACAATGAAAATGTTTATATTTTGTATTTTTATCTAATTTAATACAACATTTTATATCACAGAATCTCAGTTCAGCATTTTGAATAAATTTAACTAAACTGAACTCTCTTAAGTTGCTTTCTAATTTTATTTCCAGGTTCAAAAAAATAAAAACAAAACCCTGAATTTCAATGTGGTTTAAGGCTTTTGGACCACAATGCAGTCTTCAAATACATAAATACATGGCAACAAAGTTTTATTGAAATAAGCGATAAAGCATAATCTGATCCTAAAAAAAAAATCCAATATTTTCTGCCCCTTCCATCATACCAGTCTGAAAATGTATCTCCATCCATCTCACTCTCAGATTTTCAATATCCACAGTAAAACTTAAGATGAATCACTCTCCAAGCTAACTGTGTTTAACTGTGTTGATTTGACAAGTACTGTGCAGGCAATAATCTATACGAGTAGGGTACAAATAAAAATATGTGTAATTTATGAAAGGCCAAGACATAATCTTCAGACCATTTCTCTGTATAATGACGTTTCTTTGAGAAAAAATTATTTGTTTTATATCACTTGTCTCCTTTTCAGAACAGATGGATACGTCTGGAAAGCTGTACAAAATGGATTCAGTACCCTTGAGGAAAGCATAGCCTAACGAAAGACTTGCAAATCGCCTTGTTCTCTCCGTCTGCGAAGGTAAATTATAAGTCCACATAATTAAAATAATGAAATGCTCAATTGACGCCCCTCAGGTGCCATTTGCTTGAAATTTCGTCTGATGGGGCCATGAGACAATTGCTGAAGCAATCCTACACGGCGAGGAGTAATTAGCCATATTACAATTTGCAGTAATAGGCACCATAAAATTGAATCCCGAACACTCTCTATATTTCATGAGCCTGTATCTTTTTATAGTCTCTAGTGGGCCCAGGGCCATAGGAGGAGTGCATGATGTTTCACTGCTAAAAAAGGAGAGAATCTGAGTGCAGCAATGGAAGAAATGCAGCTTGAGAACAGGACCGAGCAGTAAAGGGGTGTGTAGGTGTATGTATGTGCGCATGTGTAAGTTTGCATGTGCATATACGACTATGCAAACTTAGCATCTGTTCTGTCAGTGTTTTTCAGCAAACCCGGCACCCTCACTTTCACTCCTCCCACACTTTATTTTCTCGAAAAATCACATTCCAGTCATTTCAAGACAAATTTTCCTTCATGAAAAGATGATTACCTACAAGTCAGCTTTACAAACTGTAATATTCTCCAAAGTGCATACGGTAGCTAGTTAGTAAGTGTGTTCCACTCTGTCTGTCAGTGTATTGGTAGCTTAAGTAATGTGCATTTGTTACAGTAAATGGCATGGTTAAGCAGTAACTCGGGCTTCATTTTGACCATTATACCATGAACTTTGTGTC